TATATATATATATATACAGGTATTAAACGATCAGTGAATATAGTTAGAAACAGTGTTGCAAATTGAAATGGATTAGATATTGCACGATACCCAACATATCACCAATAATTTCATATATGTTTTCTCAGGGTTGATTACATTGCTTATGGAAATGAACATCTCTGTTTACATGATGAACACGTGATCACACTAATTTGCAGTTCGATGTAAATGTAATTAAATAGTAATGTGACGAAGTATGCACTAGAATAAATGTACAATTTTGTAATCTGCCATGAAATAAATAATTGATACAATCTTTATTTAAAGCGCGGTGGTCGTCGCGCAGCGCGTGTTCGAATTTCATGTAAATAAACAATGTATTTTACACGCGTTGTATACGTCGCTATGAGTCCCATATCGAAGAGAACGCGGCGTGACGACTGCCGCCCTTTAAGAAAAGTACAGTGATGTACGGACTTCATAACTTCTAGGGCGTACGTGTTTGTGCAGCACACACTTACTTCATATGTGTATCATCATAAACATCAAGAACACTTCTAAATACGACACGAAATATTAGGATTGTTGTCTCTAAATATTATTATATCCGAACATATAACAAACATGAGCAGTTTAGAACGGCGAGTACAATCTTAAAACGAGTCATCTGTAAATCATTCAGTCCAATAACATTGTATATGTATGTTGCTGATTCAAACTTTCGTATCATATATATGACCACTTTAAAACAAAACATTAAATATTACTGTTTATGCACGAATACGTGCGTATGTATATATATGTAGAATGTAACAATAAACTCGGATTTTTGTGAATTAAGTTGGTTTGGTCTTTCAAAATCATGCACTTGTCACATATTTGTAATATATATTATCTTTAGTATAGTTTATATGTTATCCCTTTCACAGTATAAAATGTTATCAAAGATTTCAGTGGTCAATCGTATTGTGGTACAATTAATTAGTCTTCTTCGCAGTAGTTTAACATGATAAGCATTGCTTTTGTAACATTTCAAGTGGTCAATTTATGAAATGTATAAAAGCTTATAACTTGAGTGGTATTCATTCCAAGATTCGGGTTTTTGTAGCGTGTATATCCAGTTGTTTTCAGAGTTTCTTTTATTTATACTTGATAGCTGTAGATACGTATTATCTTCACTCTCATCCCCACACATACAACAATTCATTCCAGTTATTTTATGCCAGCGTACACTGTATATAATCCTATATATGTATTGTATTAGTCACATGCAATTATGTCACTCTCATTTGTTAAACAGTTCACATTGTGAGTTCCTCTTCGATATATTATCATCAATAATCATTGTCTCCATGATAGTCTAGTTTCGCTATTTCCTGGTCATAATAGTCTTGGTTTCGTTCTTTGCAACATTATATGGTGCACCTATCATACTACATGTATCTGCACCAATGGTTTCCTTTGCTCTTATTCACTCGGCAAAGCTTAGACTTCCCCGACCCTGACATATCTTTTGTAGCTTTCCATTGATGGTCACCGATACAGCATCTACATTTGTTTTATCAAGAACGGATGTGTTTAAGTGAATCACGTCATGATTATCCTGACATTATGTAACCATTGGTTACATGAGTATGTATTTATTTTTATAGGATTGCATTATTAATAAGGAAATGGAAAAACACATAAGGAACTCCGTTTTGGTGTTTATGTAAATTAGCTTTGTGCGCCATGCCAGTAGTGTCCCAGTGAGATCAGTTCAGCCAAAATATCGCGTTTTTGTTTGTTTACAAATTTAAAGCCTCTCCAGAGCGGGTAATTACCTGCACGTATAACTTTATCCCGGAACTGACTACCTCGTAAAATTATTCTATATTTATTTTTGCGCTGGTCTGAGATCCTATTTTAGGTTAAAAGCGATAATGCATCGAATTCCACATGTGATCAATGTTTCGTGAATAGTATGGGTAATACATGGTGATGAAAATATGACGAGAAATCATTTTCAAAATACAACAAAATGAGGTGTTATTCAGCAACCTACTTTGCTAGAATCGATCTCAACACCGGGGTAGTGTGATCGATTCAGTTAGTCATGATAGCAAATACATATAAAATGCTACATATGCGATAAACTGAATATTTACCCTGTGTTCAGAATAAAATCTGCTGGTGATTTATTGCCATCGGTATCAGCCGTTCTTCCACAGCAACTCCAGTGTAATGTGCGTCCTGAAACAAACAATCACAGGTCAGATAAATATCTCATTTCCAAAATACCACGCTAATCGGATAGAGATAGTCAAGAGTTATGCAAATAAAGTCAATTACTGTATATATTCACACTAACGCTTCGTAATTGGCTTCGGTAGTATCGCAACAATGACTTGGG